CCAACAAAATAGCCATAAGCCATATGTGGCTATTGAGCTCTTGAAATGGGGTGAGTGCAACCAGGGAAATTAAATTTAAATTTAATTTCAGTTAATTTAAATTGTTCTATGTGGCTAATGGTCGTTTACTGCATTGGACAGGGTAGTTCTATAACCATCTTCTAAGGTAGGTATGATTTCTAGTTCCATTTCATAGATGAGGACACAGAGACACAGTGACTTAAGTCACGTAGCCAGTAAATGGTGATGTCCAAATAGATTTGAGTTTAGGGCTCCCTTATCCTCTCTCCATGCTGCCTGTGTGCCAGTCATCTATCATGGCCTCTCAAGGACCACTCCCCACCCACCCACCCAAACCATATCCTCCCTTATTTCCTCAGACGGGCACACTTCGGTTCTGCGGGACCACGGAGTTCGCCAGTGGCCAGTGGGTGGGCGTGGAGCTGGATGAACCTGAGGGCAAGAATGATGGCAGTGTTGGGGGCGTCCGGTACTTCATCTGCCCTCCCAAGCAGGGTCAGTCCCACCTGGGGCTCAAAAGGGGTGGGGGTGGGGTCCATTCAGTGGTTCTGGTGCTGTTGACTAGGTGATGGGGCAGGGGAGACGATGGCCGGGCAGAGGGCAGAGGCTTGGACAATTCCCAGCCCAGGCTTTGTCCCCCCAGGTCTCTTTGCCTCTGTGTCCAAGATCTCCAAGGTAGTGGACGCACCCCCCTCCTCTGTCACCTCCACACCTCGGACTCCTCGGATGGACTTTTCCCGTGTCACTGGCAAAGGCCGCAGGGAACACAAAGGTCAGAGCGGGGGCCTTCTGGGTGAGGAGGGTGAGGAGAGCCAATCTGAGGATATTCTGTGGGTAGCCCAACTTCAGTGACTCAGTTTCTCCTCAGGTCCCTGTGTTAGAGGACAATCCTCTGAGTTCTTCACTTCTATGACTCCATTTCTCCTTTGACTTAGTACTGGCCCCCCACCCAGTTCTTGAAAGGATCTGTGTGTTCTCTGCCTTCTATGACTAAGTTTCTCCTCAGGTCCAAGGGGTTCCCCCCAGTTTTAGGAAAGAATCTATGGGGTTCCTGGCTTTAAGGACTTGATTTACCTTCACACCCAACTCCTTCCTTCATTTTAAAAGGATAATTTATGGGCTCCTGACTTCTGTGACTCAGTTTTTCCTTTGGCCTAAATAACCTCAGCTTTGAGAAAGGATTTTGGGGTTCTCCAGGTTCTTGACTCAGTTTCCCCTCAGGCCTTGCCCCCCCCCCCAAGTTTTCTGGCAGTTGAGGTTTCCTTCCAAGCCCAAAGCCCTCCTGGTTCTTGTTAAGTAATTTTAAAAATTAATTAATTGATTTTTTTTTGCCCCCCACCCCCACACACACCCCGGTTCTGAGGAAGGCTCTAGAGTTCCTGATTAGAGCCAGGACAGAGTTTCTACCTTTGGTCTTTCTGGGTAGCATGAGGTCCCCAGGGCTGGCATCTGGGGGCCCCACTCCCTCCCCTTATACCCTTTACCCTAGGCAAGAAGAAGCCCCCGTCCTCCCCGTCTCTGGGCAGCCTGCAGCAGCGGGAGGGAGCCAAGGCCGAGGTCGGAGACCAAGTCCTTGTTGCCGGCCAGAAGCAAGGGATTGTGCGCTTCTATGGGAAGACAGACTTTGCCCCGGGTGAGGACAGTGATCTGGGGGGTGGGGGGGGGAGGGGGTGGGCAGGCGGGACTTGAGGCATGCTGACACCCCACTGCCACAGGTTACTGGTATGGCATTGAGCTAGACCAGCCAACTGGCAAGCATGATGGCTCTGTCTTCGGTGTCCGGTACTTCACCTGCCCCCCACGGCATGGAGTCTTTGCGCCAGCATCCCGAATTCAGAGGTGAGCCCAAACCCCGACCCCAACCCAGTGCACCTCCCAGAACCCTGATCCCTGCCCCCCTTTCAGGTGTCTCTCCCTCTCAGACCAGCAGGACCGTGTGGATACCCACCTCCACACCCTGGCTCTCTCTGCGTGGGGCCTGTGGGTTCAGCTCCCCTGGGATCTTGTGACTCTGACTCCTCCCACTCTTCTTATGTCTCCCTAGGATTGGTGGAACCACTGACCCGCCTGGGGACAATGTCGGAGCCAAAAAAGTGCATCAAGTGACAAGTGAGTTGGGACTGAGGTGTAGGAGGTAGAGGAGGAGGAGTAAGGGTTTGGGGACAGGAGGAGAGGTCATGGGTTCTCAGGTATGTGTTGGTGACAGTATTTATAGGGAACACAGAGTCCAGGAAAGTGATGAGGATAGGTGCCATGGGGTATGAGGATGTTAGCAACAAGGCTCTGGGCAGGCACTGGGGACATGGGTAGGTATTGGGGGACACGGAATATTACAAGAGATCCAGATGGGTATTGGAATGTGGGGTCCAGGTAGGTATTGAGGACATGGATGAGTATCAATGACAAAGAGACTAGTTGGGTATTGAGGGTCTGTCATCCCCTCACCTGAGACCTTGCCTTCCCCTTTAGTGACACAGCCCAAACGCACTTTCACGACAGTCCGGACCCCAAAGGACATCGCATCAGAGAACTCCATCTCCAGGTGGGTAGCCAACCTTTGGCCCACGTCCTGTGGGATATTCAGGGATATTCAGTGGCACAGGGCCACTGGACACAGGGATCTGGACTTCTGGTTGGGGCTGGAAATAGAGGTTAGGAAAACTTGTGACTAGTCAGCTCTTAGGGAAACAGTTCTTAGGGAGTGAGGTCTCCACAATGAATTCTGGTGCCTTCCACTCTTAAGGGGCAGGTAAAGGAGGCAAAATAGCTTCTATTTCACATAAGCCTGAGAAGGCATAGCTGGATAGGTAGAGGCAGAATTCAGAAAGGCCAAATCCCAAACACTTGGGGAGAAGCAGGGGTGAAGCAGGGGTGGGGTGGGGGGTGATGAGCCCAGATGTCCCCACATCCTGCATCAAGGTGTGACAGACATGATTCTCCTTTCCAGGTTGCTCTTCTGCTGCTGGTTTCCCTGGATGCTGAGAGCGGAGATGCAGTCTTAGAGGCCTGGATATCTGACAGAGAGTCAAAGAGTCCCCTCTAGCATCTCCTCACACAGGAGCCCCCAAGTCACCCTGAGATAGAGATTCCCAGTAACACATCCAGAATAGAGACCCCATTAGCCAGCCCTCGATCACTGAGGCCCCATTATTAACAGATTCCCTCATGATAACCCCCAAATACAGACCCCATGGTACCCAGAAAGATTCCCTGAGTGTAGCACCTTCAGGCTAGTTCCTGTCCCCAACCCCTCAGAGCAGACCCCCAATAACATTTCCACATCACCTCAAATAATGGTGACCTCTACATAATGCTCCAGAGCAGAATATTCCTGAGTCATTCATCACTGGATCAGAATCCTCCCCCATTAACAAAGACACCCCCCCACACATCAAGTCCCCTTGAAATAAACACAGGTCTTACCTCCAGAGCAAAAGTAACAGATCTACATTTAACATCAGTCCCCTCAAGATGTTGTGACCCCCATGGTCACCCCAAAAGCTTACACTGCAATCAGAGACACCCTACATTAACAAATCCCTACTCTTACCCCTCAAGAAGAGACCCACATTAACCAGCCCACTGTCACCCCCAATATACAGACACCAAAACAGTCCTGGAAGTGCTAATTACAGGACCCCTATGTCTTCCTGCCCTCTGCGCCCTCAAGAAACCCCCAGTGCCTTGTATGAAGCCCACCCGACACGGCCCACAGCCCCTGTGCTGGCCAGGCTCCCAAAAAATTCTCTATTTTTTAAGTAACGACTTCCCCCTTTGGGGGACCCCAAAATTTGGAGGCCCCATTCTGGGACTCTGGGGATACTAAGCTCCAGAGTACATGTCCCCCATGTTCCCAAGTCCTACAGCCCCTAGAGGACCCCAAGGCCCTAATTCCCAGGATCCTCAAATCATAGAATCCCCAAATCCCCAGGGAATCCCAAATTTAAAAATTCAATCCTAAGCCCCCAGGAAACCCCAATCAAGGAGGTCCTTGTGCCTGGGATGGAGGAAATTGCAGTCAGGATGTGCATCCCGGGCTCCCAGGGCACCTCAAGCCCTATTGGTAGGCACCAGGAGACCCCAAACAGGAATTCTCATCCCTGGAGACCGGAGTACTTCAATGCCCTGAGTTGATGGATCTCAAGACACCCAAATGCAAAGAACCCCAGCCCCCAGGGAACCCCAAATCCTAAAGCCTCCATCTCTAATACATGAAGGGCCCCAAGGCCTTGAGGGGATCCCAAATCCTAGAACCCTATTTCAATCTACGTTCTGGTCACAGGTCCAAAACACCAAATCTGAGTCACTGGCCCCAAAGGACCTCACAGCACCCGGGCCAGACCAACAGCCTGAGGGAGAACCTGAAGGCCCAGGGGGTCTAGGGTGGACCTGGGGCCCTGACCACCAAGGACAGCTCACGACTGCCCCTTCACTGCATGTCCCCGAACTCAGCATGACCCCTATCCCCTTCAATAAAGATGTTTCTATGGCTTGTCTGCGTCAGGTCAATATTTGGGGAGTTACGGGCCTGCCTGTGTAGCCCTTACTACAGAGGACGAGAAAGGAGGTCCTTCCTTCAATGGGCATTGAATGATTCCGCCTGCGGGAAGTCCTGCTAACAATCCGGCTTCGGCTTCTTCCTGCCGCTTCCCGTCCCATCTGGGCCCTTCGAAGGCTTCCCCTCCCATCTGGGCCCACTCCGCAGGTTCTGGAGCCTGATTGGTCGGTGCTAGAAAAAGACCCGTCTCCGGAGGATCCCCATTGGCTCAGAGCCCGGGAGGCGCGGCCTATCACTGAGCGAGGGGGAGGCGGGACAATACAGGGCGAGAGCGCCGATTGGGTGGAAGGCGGACCCTCAGGACCTTTGAGAATTCCCGTTGGTTTGAGGAAACTGCGTCAGGAACGTGGGCGGAAGTGGCTGGGAAGGGAATGGGGGTGTTTAATTCGGGTATTGGAGGGGACCCTGGTGGACGGTCAGTTTTGGGGGTGGCTGGGGACGGAGATGGGGTCCGAGAGGGCTGAGAACGGGGACCTGGGGAAGCTCAGGTGGGAATTCCAGGGAAGCTCGGAGCGTGGGGTTCTAGAAGACTCGGTGTGGGGAGTCTAAGGGGTTCAGGTAGAGAAGGTTGGAGAGGAGCCAGGCTTCAGACTAAAGGCCTAAGGTTGCTGCAGGGAAGGGGCGCTCGGGAGGAGAAGTGTGAAGGTGTCCAGAATGGGGGGATCCGAGGAGACGGAGAGTGGGCCTTTCTGAGACTCGGATCGGGGGCACGCGGGTGTTCAGAACGGGGCGTCTGAAGGGCTGGAGGCAGGAGGAGGGTGCATGGTGACCGTGAATACTGTTGGAGACCCAGACTCATGGTTGCAAGTCTGAAGTTGTTAGGAAGGGGTCTCAAACCCTTTGAAGGGGCTTTGGGGTGCAGCCCTGGAGGCCCTGCGTGGAGCTCTTGAGAACGGCTCCCCGTGAGGTCAGAGGATGTTCTCCGTGAGAGGCTTAAGAGGGCAAAAATGTGTGCCGTTGGATGAGACGTTGTGGATGGAGTTTGGGGCAGCGGGGCAATGTTCTGGGTGCTCACTGTGTCTGGGTGGCTTTCGAGATGCCGAGGACTCAGGTGGAAACCAAGTGAGTATTCCCTGTAGAGCTGAGGGCCTCACACCCTGGCCCTTGATAAAGCCGAAAATGGGTAATAGCCTGAGGGTGGGAAGCTTGGTGACTTCAGAGTGTCCTCCCCTTCCCCACAGGACTGGGTGCATGGAGTTGGTGTCGATGGAAGATCAGGACGCCAGGGTCCCCGCCCTGGAACCGTACAGGGTGGAGCAGGTTGTCAGGACTGGGGGTGCAGAGGGTGAAGGTGGGGACTAGAGGGTGGGAGAGTAAGAGTGGGGATAGATAGGCAGACTCCTGGGTTTGTGGGCTGGGACTGCTCGCTTCCCACTCCCCACTTCCCACCCCCAAAATGGGCATTAGTCCTTTGACGTCAGGCCCTGGCCTGTCTGGGAACATCTGGAGCCTCTCTTAGAGGGAGGGTCTGCTCAGTGTTACTAGGGCTCCTATGTAGGTTGAAGGGCCGCACTTTCAGGGGGTTCTCTATCCTAGGCACCACCTGTAATCTACTATGTCCCTGACTTCATCTCCAAGGAAGAGGAAGAGTATTTGCTTCGACAGGTAACCTCAACACCCTTCTGTCGTTTTTTTCCCTCCTTCTCAGATCCCTCCCCAACCCCTAAGGCTACAGTGAAGATCCTGGCAGGAAGGAGAGTGCCACCCAGCACCCATCCCTCCTCTTCCCTACTTGCTGCTCTTGCAGGACCTGCTGGGTCTGTCAGAAAGAGCCTTTCCCAGGCAGCTTAGGGGAAACCAAACTGATTCTTAGAAAGGTAGTTATTATGCAGCTCAGACTCCCTGTGCTGGGATAGCCCAGTATGGCCTCCAAACAGATGTTATTGCTAGAAACAGATTCCTTATGCTAGAAACAAGGAAGTTAGAAACCTCATACCCTCTCTACTAAGAGAGCCCAATCCTGCTATCATAGAGAAAGGGGGATTATACATATAGACTGAGATAGCCCAGTTCAGGCCCTTGAGGTTTGGGGAATTAAGACTTTGCAGTTTCGGTTTTCTGTGCTGACATAACCCAGGCATCAGAATGCTACAGGGTAACCTCTTCCCTCTGCTGAAATAGCTCAGCACAGACCCAAAGTCTTGGTAACAAGGTTACCAAGCACAGATCACCTGTGCTGAGATGGCCCAGTATTCTATATTCTATTCTTAAGATTCGGGGTGGGGCGTGGGGGATAGAATTTATAAAGCTCAGAGCCTTTTGCAGCTTCAGAGACTTAGTTACAGAGCACAGGGCTTCCTTGTGCTACCCCAAGTAATCTTGTCTAGTTTGAGTCCCAGGAATAAGTTAGCTGCAGAGGACAGACTTTTTTGTTTTGTTTTGTTTTGTTTTTTAAAGATTTTATTTGTTTGAGAGGGAGAGATAGCTCCTGAGCGGGGTGGTGTCGGGGGGCAGAGGGAGAGAGAGAATCTTAAGACTCTCCGCTGAGCACAGAGACTGATGCAGGACCCTGAGATCATGACTTGAGCTGAAATCAGTCGGGTGCTTAACCAACTGAGCCACCCAGGTCCCCCACAGAACACACTCGTGTGCTGAGATAGCCCATTCCAGCCCCATAACGATGAAAGAAATGAGATTATTGAGTGGAGTACAGACTTCTTCGAGATTGCCTATTCTAGACCCACAGGATCTTGGCAGTGGAGAATTTTCAAAGTACTCTCTCTGCTATGCTGAGATAGCCCAGCCTAGCACATTTCCTCCCCCCGGGTGATGGGAACAAAGAGGTTCCAGAAGTCAGGCTGTGCTGAGAGAGCCCAGGATTCAGGAAATTACAGAGTGCACACTATTTGCTGGATTAAAAGAGCTCAGTCTAGCCCAGAGCTCTCAATAGATTCAGACCACGATTGTGTAGCTGTGGTTCCTTTCCTGATCCTGGACACAGGGAAGAGGGCAAATAACACAGGCCTGGGAACACTGTATCAGAGAACAATCCCACAGACTTTGAGATGACCCATTTCAACCCCAGGTAGAGGGCCCTATGTTGACCTGGGTGCAAGAATCAGTGAGGGTGATCCTGAAAAAGGACTGACCCCTCCCAACCTCCTAGGTCTTCAATGCCCCAAAGCCAAAGTGGACCCAGCTCTCGGGGAGGAAGTTACAGAACTGGGGTAAGTGTCCCTACCAGGGGCATGGGCAATGTGGGGATATACGCTGGGGCAGGTGGCTCAGATTGGATACTCAAGGCATTGGGTGGGTTCTTGAGGGTTAAAGGGATTCAAAAGGCCAGGAGGATTCTGAGGGGTGAGTGGAAATTCTGAGAGACTAGGGATTTCCTGATGAGTTGGGGATATCTCGCAGTGTCCAGAAGTTTAAAGAAGTCAAGACACCTTGGAAGCATCGGGTAGTGATCTCCAGAGTCGGAGGTTCCCCAGGGTCAGAGTGCTTCCAGCCACTGGGATATCCCTAATGGGGACTCCAGGTGCCAGGGCTCCTTGGTTGGGTGTCCTCAGGACCCCATTGCCCTCTCCCAGGTGGGCTCCCCCATCCCCGGGGGATGGTTCCTGAGCGGCTGCCTCTGTGGCTCCAGCGCTACGTGGACAAAGTATCTGACCTCAGCCTTTTTGGGGGTCTCCCAGCCAACCACGTCCTTGTGAACCAGTATCTGCCTGGGGAGGGCATCATGGTAACCACACACCTTCACCCTAATCCCCAGACCTCTGATCCACCATGGGACAGGGCATCATGTTGACCCACCTCTACTCATTCAGTAGCCACATACCTCCAGCAGGCATTCACCTCCCCATCTCAAGCTGGGGCGCCCTCCTTGAGCCCCAGAGGGTGGGGGGTGTGGACTCCTGCCCTGTCCAGCCCTGGTGCCCACTCCCTAGCCCCACGAGGACGGGCCACTCTACTACCCGACCGTCAGCACCATCAGCCTGGGCTCCCACACCATGCTGGACCTCTACGAGCCGCGGCAGCCAAAGGATGATGACCCTGCCGAGCAGGTGGGCCCTGAGACCCTGCCCCAGCCACTCGTGGGCATTCTGACAATCCACATCCTCCAAGAGGGCCCCAACCCCTCCTGCTTGCAAGGTACCCCTGATACTTTCCCAGACACCTTCCCCAGTCCCCTCAAAGTGGATCCCCCGATGCCCTACAGATCCCCTGGCCCCACATATTCGGAGTGCCCCCAATAGCCCAAGGTCCATATACCTTATGCAGGACTCCCCAACACTCCAGTAGATAACTGATATCCTCAGATTCCTCAACACCATTTACTCAGGGGTGTCTCTGATATTCCTTTTAGGCATCCTCTTTGCCCACTGCACAGGGCACCCTGACACAGACCTCTCTGCCACTCCAATAGTGTAGATCCGCCTGGTAGGACACTTCAGATTCTCCTTGGGGAGTCAACCCATGACTCGTTGCTCAAGGACGCCCCAGATACACTGACTCCCTTTGCGAGGACCGCGCATGACCGCAGCTTCCCTGACCTTTGAGTAATGCATTTCTGACACCTCACGGTTCACAGAAACTCCCTGGGAAACCCAGCTGCTCCTTTTTAGCCCTACATGCTCCTGGGTAGGCTGACACCTCCTTCTACTGTGCTGGTGTCCTCAAACATCCTGATGTCTGCAGACAGACCCAGACCACACCGGCTCCTCGTCGCCTGTGTTCATCCCTCTAGCCCCTCTTCCTAACTTCGGCCAAGCCCTCAGTCCAGTTCCATCCAGTTACTAGGACTGCTGATCCCTGGGTGCAAGCTGCAGCCGACTTTCTGCCCCCTTCCAAGGGCCTGCTGGTCCTGCCTTCCATCCTCCCCCACTAGCTGAGACCCCCGTAGGATTTGCACTCCAGACCCTCAGCCTTTGCCCCTAGGAACTCACTAACCCCCTCCCCACCCCAACCTAGCCCCCTGACTTCTGGGGACCCGCTGACCTTGAGCCCGCCCCGCAGCCTCGGGCCCCGCCCCGGCCAGCCACCTCACTGCTGCTGGAACCGCGCAGCCTGCTGGTGCTCCGAGGCACCGCCTACACGCGCCTCCTCCACGGCATCGCAGCTGCCCGCGTAGACGCGCTGGACGCCACCTCCCTGCCGCCCAACGCCGCCGCCTGCCCGTCGGCGCGGCCCGGAGCCAGCCTGGTCCGTGGCACGCGCGTCTCGCTGACCATCCGCCGCGTGCCCCGTGTGCTGCGCACCGGCCTCCTGCTCAGCAAGTGATGCCAGGTGGACTCATTCTGGGGCTCTCCGCCTCCTGACATCTGCGACCCTGTGACCTTGGAACCCTGGGGCAGAGGCGGCTCCCCTCCCCAGCATTCCCGGGGTTATATATTTTCCCAGTAACTTTGTGGGAACTACAGGAAGAGGTCCCATTTCAAATAAACCAACAAAAATCTTTCTTTGGTCTTGGATTGGGTAGAGGGGCAGATGCATGAGTTCCTGAGGGGCACTGCGTCTGGGACCTTGGATGGTGTGGGCCTTGGGGCTAGGTGTAAGGGGGTCACTGAGTGGGGTGGAGTCCAGGGCTCTTGAGGGGTCAGGGTCCTATGTGGAAACCCCTTAGGTGGGATGAATGGGATGAGCCTGGGAGGTTCAGCCAACTGGCCCGCTAGAGAGGAAGGAGTTAAATGCTGCTCTCACCTGAGCTGGGCATCAAATTACCTGAGTCCAGGTTCCACTGGTAAGGAGGTGGAGCTGAGCCTGCCCCTGGGCCTCTGGCTGCCTCAGGCCTAAGGTAAGGACTTACCTGCCTGGGTAAGTCCTACTGAGGAGGTCTGGGGGGATACCCCTGACCAGAAAAAGGGCTCTCACTGGGGATCCTCACTGACTCTGTCCTCAGGCTCCCAGCTATGGCCCTGCCCCCATCCCTGGGCCCTAGACTCCCCTCAGAGCCCCTCAGCCACCCCCCTGGAGCCCCTAGGGAACTGGACGTTGCTGGATGCACCATCTGCTCTGCATCTGGAGAGGAGAGAATCAGGTAGGGGCTGGGGTTTCTGAAACTTGGGCCCCAAAAGGGTGGGGGCAGTAGCAGAGGCATTTTGAGGGTGAGAGGTACTGTGGCTGTAATCACCTAGGGACATGGCAGAGGGAGCTGGGGACAGGGGTAGCAGAGGCCTGTCAGTGCTTCATGCCTCCAGCCCAGAAACGGGTCAGACTCCTTGGATCCTCCCAAACACTTCCAGGGTGGGTTGAGGGGCACTGACCCTACTGTTGGTCCTCTCAGATGGCCAACACCCTCTTCCAGTGAGGACCCAGCTGGAGGCAGACACCGGGAGGTAAGCTGAGGTGATCCAGGGCCCTTGGGCCAGCCCCCATTTCCTCTCCCCCAGAATCTGGGGATGAGATGATGAGCCTGGGAAAGCACTGGGCATCTGGGGGTGGGGGTGAGGGGAATGTTCTAGGAAATTATTCTTTACCACTATAATCACTTCATTATTTTACTGACTGGGAGAGAATGGTTTCATCATTGACCCTGTACAGTCCTATTCCTTGTGGGGATATCCAGCTCCATCACCCCTCCCTGTCTGGGCCCCCAGACCCCATATGTCCATGTTTCTAGGAGCCTTGAAAACCTGGAGGCTTTGAACTAGAGGTCTTCAGGCCTGGTTCCACCAGGAAGGATTCCAGGTGGGAGCCGCCCTGGTACAGACCCAGGGAGGGACGCTGCTATAGGAGGATCCTGCAGGAGATGGGTGGCAATGAGAGTAGGGGCAAGGTCTTTGTTAGCCTACCAGCCCTAACTCCGCCCCTTGTATTCCCCAGCATCTCATCTCTGGCCAGGAGGTATTGGAGGCTGAGCAGGACAGTCTATCGCTATGCCTGTTGGGGCTGGGCCTCCGGCTGCAGGACCTAGAGCAAGGCCTGGGGCCCTGGGCATCAGCCCAGAGCAGGATGGTCCAGCTGCAGGTGGGCAGCGGGAGGCCAAAATGTGGGAGGGTGGGCAGGGCCTCTCGAATGGGTACCAGCTTCCTAGGGTGGGAAATGGGTTTATTCCATGTTCCAGATGCCTGGGTAGGAGAGAAGGGATGTAATTCCAAGTCCCAGATCTCTGGAGCTCCTGCTGTGTGTGGGTATGGGTATGTTGTGTGTGTGTGGGGGTGTCTAACCTTGTGTCCCCAGACCCTACAGGCAGACCTACGTGGGGCAGCTGAGCGTGTGGATGCACTGCTGGCATTTGGTGAGGGGCTGGCACAGCGGAGTGAGCCTCAGGCCCGGGCGTCCCTGGAGCAGATCCTGAGGGCCCTCAGAGCCCACCGAGGCAGCATCTTTCGGCGACTGTGGTGGCTGCAGGCCCAGCTGGTCACCTATAGCCTGGTATGGCCCACCCTGGCAGTCCCCACTCCAGGAACCAATTCCACAATCCCCATGACTCTGTCCTCTGACCAGGTATTTGAGGAAGCCAACCCACTGGACCAGGACTTGGAAGTCGAGGGCGACGTGGATGGACCAGGACCTAGTGGGGTCTGGGGACCCTGGGCACCAAGTAGCCTCCCCATTCCCGCAGAGCTGGAGTGGGACCCAGCAGGGGATGTTGGAGGCCTCAGGCCCTTGGGGCGAAAGACAGCCTGGATGCCAGGAGCTCCTTGTGAGCTGTGTGGCCATAGAGGCCCCCAGGGCAGGGGACAAGACCTTGAGGTGAGAGCAGGTGGGGGATACCCCTCCCCCACAGGCACCCTTGGGACGCCTCTTTTGGGGTACTTCCCTTTCAAGGGGGTCTTGATGGCTCTGTCTCTCTGGGTCTCTTTCTCTCTTGCTGTCTCAGTGTTGTCCTCCCTCCCTCCTCCTGTCTCTATTGATCTCTGGGACTTCTCTATCTCTGTTTCCCTCTTATGGTCTCTATCTGTGTGTCCTTATTTCTTTTCGCTCTTCCTTACTCTCCACTCTGCAGCCACATTAACCTCCTGGTTTTTAAACATCCCCAGTTCACTCCCACTCACAAAGCTCCCAGACTTATGCCTCCCTCATCTCCTCACTTCATTCCAGTCTCTCCTCAAATATCACCTTTTTAAAAATTTTTAAATTTTATTACTTTTTTAACTGAGTTTTATGCCCAACATGGGTCTTGAACTCACATGCTCTGCCAACTGAGCCAGCCAGGTGCCCTCCGAAATGTCACCTCCTCAGAGAAGCCTGCCCTGACCTCCAGACATGATCACTCCGTAAGCTCTTTATTTCCTAGCAGCACTTACCACATCTTGACATTGTACATTTATTTATGAATGTGTGGTCTCTCTGCTAGAAAATAAGTTCTATGGACACCAGGACTTTGTCGGTTTATAGATTCTAGAACAGTGCCTGGCATGTAATGGACACTCATTAAATATTTGTTAAATGAATGAATAAGTAATATCTCTTCTCTCTTGGTTTCTTCGTCTCTGCCCCTCTCTTCATCTCTCCCTGAGACCTTTTTCTTCCCCCAGAATCTCATCTCTATGACAAGCCCATCTTGGCCCTTGACCAATTTTGTCTGTTGCTAGTTTTCCAAGGACCTCCCACCTCTTTCCCCGCAGGACATGCTCATGTCGGGCTTTAGCCACCGGAAACACTTAGCAGGTCACCGAAGACGTTCCCTGCTCCGGAAGTCTCAGGTGAGCTGGTCCTCAGCCAGGGGTATCACTCGAGAATCTTGATGGCAAGCGACAGAAACCTAACCCAAATTGAATTACACAAAAAAAGGGATGATATTTTTTCATGTAACTGAAAAGTCCAGGTGCTGCTGAGAAGATCTCAGGTGCTATCCAGGGCTCAGCCCTTCCCTCTCTTGGGCTCTATTTCTCCAAGGTGGTTTTCTTCTCAGCAAATGGCTGCCCAGCAGCTAAACACTCACATCCCACTGGTTTATCCACCCGAGGAGAAGCAGAGTGCCACTGACCTACTGGCAGCAAAGTCCCAGGGCTGATTCCCACTTGGCCAGCTTGGGTCATGGCCTACACCCTGAACCAATCACGGTGGCCAAGCTGATGGAGTGCTCTCATTGGCCAGATCTGGCTCACATGCCCAGTCATGGAAGTAGAGTCGTGTGGGGTCAGCTACTCAAGCACCCAAAGGCCTGTGGGTGGGGAGGCAGGATGCCCTCCAGCCCCTGCCCTCATTAAGCCACTGTCATCAGGAACAGGAAGATTGGATGGAGGGCAGACACAGATACCCACCACACTAGGAGATGTTCCAAGTCCATGTGGTTGGGTCCTGAGGGTTCAGGACGTGCCAGGAAAGGAGGAAAAATAAACTCAGCCCTGTAGGTCTGTTATAGTAAGGAAGAATCCAGACTAAGTGCTACTTCCATCCATTCTGCTGCTGGCTGCTGTCTCCTCTTAGGACAAGAAGCAAACGCCTCCCAGTCTCCAGGATGTGATGTTGGAGGTAGACCCTGGGTGAGATGCCTGGGAGATGGTTCTGGGGGTGTGGGGTACAGGGCTCAAGGTGGCAGTTTAACACTGCATTTCACACCATATTTCCCTCCACAGAGCCCGTCCTCCTGCCTCCAGGCAGTCCCTGACCTTCCTCCTTCTCTTCCTCCTCTTTCTCCTGGTGGGTGCCACATTGCTCCTGCCACTGACAGGAGGGTCCTGCTGCTCTCCTGCCCGACTGGCCAGGACACCTTACCTGGTGCTCAGCTACGTCAATGGCCCCCCACCAATCTGAGTACACAGCCCGGACATATGTAATAAATGGTCACCGTCAAAGGATGTGTCTTAGTCCGTTGGGCCTGCTATAACAAAATAACAGACTGGGTAGCTTATAAACAATAGAAGTTCGTTTCTCACAGTTCTGGAGGCTGGGAAGTCCAAGATCACAGTGCCAGCAGATGAAGGTCTGCTTCCTGCTTCACAGATGGTCGCCTTCTCGCCGTCTCCTCATGTGACAGAAGGATCAGGGTTCTCTCTTTTATGAGGGCTCTAAGTCCCTTCCATGAGGATTCCACCATCATGACCTGATCACTTCCTAAAGGCCTCACCTCCTAATACTATCACATTGGGGGTTAGGATTTCAACATGAAGGTTGAGGGGGCACAAACATACCACAGCGGAATGCGTGAGGATATTGGGTGTGTGAGTTCAGAATGTGGGATCCAGCTCTGATGTCTGGACAGCCCCCTCCACGGATCCCTTCACTTTTGAATGTACAACACAGAACTGAATCACCCCATCTTGGATTGGGATCCCGGAGACAAAGATTCTAGCACAAGTAGTTCATTAGGGAGGTGACCCCCTAGGCAGATTAACGGGAGTGAGGAAGTGAGCCAGGGAAGGCAGCTAATGAGCTGGTTGCTGCTCTGGGCTCCTGGGGTTCCACCCCACTAGGGGCCTCTGGGAGAATACAACCAAAGGGTGAAGAAGTTGTGACATTTATGCTCCAGCTTCCATATCTCATTGGAATAGGGACTAATCCTGGAGATGCTAACTCCTCTACACTTCCAGCCTCTCCTGTCTGTCAAGGCTTCTCAGGCAAAGAGGCATGGGTGCTTGCACCAGGAAGCTAGGGGTGTGTAGGGAAGGATGCAGGCAATGTGGGGGAGCTGCCAACACCTGCTACGGCCCCTGTCTGGCAGGCATACAGGTGCTCTGCCAAACATTCTGCATGTCTCCCAGGCTGGGCCATCCCTGGCATAGGATAGCGAAATCCCCCTTTCCCCAGGGTCTTGACCTCACCCAGCTGAATTGCCAGGGCTGCATCCTGAGTCCAGTCCTCAGCCTGAGGTGTCTAAGCTTACCCTCTCCTCAGAGTGCATGCAATCAGGACAAGAGGAACAGGACTAGATTCAAGAACAGGAGCCCTGTGCTAGGCTCCTGGATGTGCACTAAACACACGTCCCTTCTTTAAAGCTCACGACCACCCAATGGTGTGTCCCCGCTTAATGGGAAACTGAAGCTCCAGAGGGGAAGCCATGGCTCAAGGCCACACAGGGAGCAAGCAGCTGAAGCCCAATTCCCACTGATTTAAGCTGAAGTGGGAACTGATTTTTGTGGATAACTGAAAAGTTCAGGCTGCAAGCCCAGCTGAGCTAGGGACACACACGGAATCTCCATCTCTCAGTTCTGTCCACTGGTTTGGCTTCTTATCTAGTGGTAGCCCGAGTGCCCCTCAAAGCCTCTAAGCACCCCACCAATTGAGCAGCCAATACAACAGTCACCCTTCCCTTACAGTTCCACCAAAGTCCCCAAGCTGGCTCCCTTGGCCAGTGTCACTTGCTTCCTTGGCAGCTGCTGTCAGCCCTGCCTGGATCATGTGTACTGGAAATGGGGGAGGGGTGGGTCTCCAAAGAAACCAGGGAGGTGTCACCAGAAGGGGGAATGGACAGAGGGAGGGAGGCAGGAAGCAGCAGATCCTGAGACCCCAGGTTCAGGGAAAAACCAGAACGCAAACCTGGGTCTGTCCTGTTTCCACACCAAGTCTCTGTCCCAACCAAGGAAGAGCCATGGTCTCCCCAGAGTCACTACAAACAGGGTGGGCAGAGTCCCGCCAATGCTAACCCAACTGACTGGATAATGGAACAGATCTGTGCCATTCACTCACTCACTCACTCATTCATTCATTCTTTCAAAGTTGAGTGTCTGCTTTGGGTCAGTTACTGGTCAAAAACCAGGGCTATGACAGTGAACAAGCCAGGCTAAAAATCCTTGTCCCCATGGGGGGGGGGGCAGACACTCTAATGCGGATCAGCAGTAAATAAGAGGACTAGGTAAAATGCTATAGGTCAGATGGTGATTAAGCACCAAGGAGACAACGGAAGTAGGCAAAAGGAAAGGGGACACAATTTAATTAGGGTGGCTGGGGAAGGCATCAGGGAGACAATTAGGTCATGATGTTGGCATTATGTGATTATAGTAAATTGCAGTGAGGAAACAAGCCCCAGGACTCCTAGAGTAGTGCTAAAACAGATATAATGTGAGGCACAAATATAATTTTATTATTATATATTTTTTAAAGGAAATAGAAGTTTACTGACTACACAAGGGAACAGCGGGCAGGACAGGAAAGGAGACTGTCCGCCAAGAGGCAGTGGTGCAGGGCTCTAGTTACAAGACAGAGTGAGGCATTATGGGAATGTATGGCATTCTCCCCTCTTGGTAACTGGGCCTGGTTGAGGGCAGCCCACTGGTCAGGGAGGGCCTATGATTATTTCCAGGGGGGTTGCTTAATGAGCCTTTTTGCATTCACCTTGGGGGCCATAGTGGGCCCTTTTGCCTTGCTCCAGGTTTCATTGTTCAAGCCTGTTGCCTAAAAGTGGCCTCTACACACCGCCTACCACCAGCACACCCCCAAACCCCTGTCCTGATGGACTGACAATGACAAATCTCTGGCATTTGGGCAGAGTAGCTGCCCAAATATCGATCTTCAGTAGTTGCTTTAATTTTCAAATTTCTACTAAATAAGGGGCACCTGGGTGGCTCAATTGGTTAAGCATCTGCCGTCGGCTCAGGTCATGATCCCAGGGTCCTCGGATCAAACCTCACATTGGGCAACCTGCTTGGGAAATAGCTTGCTTCTCCCTCTCCCTCTGCTGTTCCCCCTGCTTGTGTGCTCTCTCTCTGTCAAATAAATAAAACTTTAAAAAAATTTATTAAAAATTGTTTAAATTCCTTAGTCCCTAATCACATTTTTAAAAAAATTATTTATTTAGGTTATGTCTACATTCAGTGTGGGGGCTTGAACTTATGATCCCAAGATCAAGAGTCATATGCTCTTCTGAGTCATCACATTTCAAATACATCCCAAGTTGCTCCCATTATCATACTGGACAGTGGAGACAGGAAGGAAGAGCATTCCAGGTAGAGGGGAAAAGTGCAAAGGCCTTGAGGTAGAAGTGTGCCGAGCATGGGGGAAGCCAATGTGGCTGGAGCATGAGTCATGAAGGGGGAGTGTGGGAGGAGATGAGGTGAGAGGTGATGGGGCCAGATCAGGTGAGGCTTCTGATCTGTGTTAGGTGCCCCAGACCACTACATTTTGTTTTGTTTTCCCAACTTTAATAATGATACTTTTTGAACTTGTACAAAAGGAGAAGGGACAGTATTACAAGTCTCTATGGAATCATCACCAGTTCTAGTCATTATCAACTCAGAGCCAATCCTGTTTAATCCTCCTAGGCACCCACTCCCCTCTCCCTAGATTACTTTGAAGCCAATCCTTTGGCATCATATCCTTTTACTCATGAGCAATTTGTGGAATCTCCAGATCAGGATTGTTTTTTATTTTTTTAAGATTTTATTTATTTATTCATGAGAAACAGAGAGAGAGAGAGTCAGAGACACAGGCAGAGGGAGAAGCAGGCTCCATGCGGGGAGCCAGACGTGGGACTCCATCCTGGGTCTCCAGGATCACGCCCAGGGCTGAAGGCTGTGCTAAACCGCTGAGCCACCCAGGCTGCCCTAGAACTGTTTTAGAATCAAATCACAGTACTTTTACGCTCTAAAGAAAATCCTAGTCATTCCTCCCTATCATTCATATCCAGGGCCATCCAATGCTGAGGGAGGGAGCTGAGCAAGAGTGGTGGTAATGTGGAGTGCCTGGCTGCCTCAGTTGGTAGAGCATGTGACTCTTGATCTTGGGGCTGTAAGTTTGAGCCCCATGTTGGGTAGAGATTACTTAAAATCTTAAAAAAAAAAAAAAGTGTTGGTAACCTGCTGGTGTGGCTAGTGGCTCCTCATCAGGTACTGTGAGTTTCCCAGACTTCCCCCCACTTGTACTCTCTCAAATAGATAAATAAAATGTTTATAAAAAGATGCATAGTCTCAGAAAACAGGCGTTACAGATTTTAAATCTCTTGTAAAAATGTGCCCTGTGTATAAAGATCTCTAGTGCCCAAATATGAATGACCACTGACTTTTAATTTTTTTGTAACTTTGTTGCAAATTGCTGAAAACTTTTAAGACTTATTCAGCAAACTTCCATAGACCCTTTTACCCAGATTCACCAAATGGTAACATTTTACCGGAGGTGCTTCACCACTCTCACTCTTGCTAATATATTTATATATGTACATATATTCTAGACCCATTTGAGACTAAGTTGTAGACATGAGACTCCTTACTCCTAAATACTTTGTGTATTTTTTTTTTTTTTAGATTTTATTTATTTATTCATGAGAGATACACAGAGAGAGGCAGAGACACAGGCAGAGAAGAAGCAGATTACTCGCAGGAACCTGATGTGGGACTCGATCCTGGCACAGGGATCCTGCCCTGGGCCAAAGACAGATGCTCAAAAAAACCCCAAAAACAAACAAACAAAACACAAAGACAGATGCTCAATCAGGCGTCCCACTTTGTATATAATTCTTAAGAACAAAAGCATTCTCTTACACTAGAGTACAGTTATCAGAATCTGGAAAATCAACTCCATCGAATTTTTTTTTTTTAGGATTTTATTTATTTATTCATGAGACAAGAGGGAGAGGGAGGCTCCCTGCAGGGAGCCTGATGTGGGACTCCATCCCAGGACCTCGGGATCACACCCTGAGCCTAAGGCAGAGACGCTCAACCACTGAATCACCCAGGCATCCACATTCAGTTCTGTTATTAATCCACAATACAGACTCCAAATTATCCGTCAGTCCTTTATAGCCACTTTCTTAGATCAGAAGATTCCTGTTTGATGGGGCCAGGGGCTTGAGAAGCACTGACCTTGTGCCTTAGCAGAGTAAAAACATTACACAGAGAGTATCAACCATGTATAAATATTGGCATACTCTGAGCCAAGGACTTCAGGTAGGTTTATGTGGGACATGATCCCAAGACACAGGAGTTAGGGAGTAGGGGGGAGTGAGACAGGCTAGGGGGCATGCCAAAAAAGATGATTCTGGGAGACACCCAGGTGGCTCAGTGGTTGAGTGTCTGCCTTTGGCTCAGGTCGTAATCCTGCGGTCTTGGGATCGAGTCCTGTATTAGGCTCTCTGCCAGGAGCCTGCTTCTCCCTCTGCCTGTGTCTCTGTGTCTCTCATGAATAAATAAATTGACTCTTTTTTTTTTTTTAAGGTGCTTATGGACTGGTAACTGCTGTGGGCAACTGGGCACAATCCCATAGTGGGACTGCTGAGGCACCTTGTGAAAAGACATTGCAATTGTCTCAACAAACAGGCAGGCTGCTGCACTCATGCAGTGACTGCTGTCCTTTCACAGGCTGAAAGACTGCCCCCGAGGATGTTAACCCATAACCCCCAGAAAGCCTTCAGGCAAAGGCGCAGAGATAGACTCAGGGCAGGAAGCTTGCAGTCTCCTGGGATCCCACTTCTTCAGCTCCAAGTGGACCCAACTAGGCAAGAGGGTCACGGAGTTCAGACATCATTTGCTGCCACGCCACATATTTAATCCACTGTAACAGCTACATGAGGGAGGCCCTAGTATGATGCCCATTTCACAGATAAGGGCACTGAGGAACAGAGAGGTTAAATCACAGGCCCATGATCATATGGTCAGTAAATGTTGGAGTTGGGATCCAAACTTAGGCATTCTAGGTCCAGAGTCCATGCTCTTAATCACCAATGACCTACAATCTCCTCCCTCGAATCAGGCACTCCCCTCTCATTCTCTCTACCATACAAACTCTGCCCATCTGTGTACCTGGGTAGAATGTCTCCCCTCCTGACCCAGGTCACCCAGCTCCAGTGGGAACTTGCTCACTACCCTATGGCTCTGCCAGGAGCTCCCATCCTGGAGCTTCTTAGGACTCAAATCCTCAGAGCCAGGAGTGAGCAAGAGGGAGAGGTGAGTGATACAGGGCTGGATGGTAGGAACCTATCAGCCACTTCATGACTTTGGCTTTTACTGAGGTGAAGTCAGGGATGCCTGGATGGCTCAGTGGTTGAGCGCCTGCCTTTGGCTCAGGGCGTGATCCTGGAGACCTGGGATCTAGTCCCACGTCGGGCTCCCTGCATGGAGCCTCTCTGCCTGTGTCTCTGCCTCTCTCTCTGTGTCTCTTATGATTAATAAATAAAATCTTAAAAAAAAAAAAGGGGGGACAGAGAGAGGTGAAGTCAGGCCCAGATTAACAGGAACACCGTGATGAAAAAAAAAAAAAAACTGAGGCTGAAGAGAGATGAGCAAGCCGAGACAGCTGAAGTGGAAACCACGTGTGCAAGCCACACAGCCTATGCTCTGGGGCACTCCAGGTGCCTGGTGGAACCCTGCCTTTCTTTCCTCCAGGCCTTTGACCACACTGGTCCTCCTGCTTAGAAGCCTAACCCTACCATCTGGGAAACTCCTTATAATTCTTCAAATTTCAACTCCATTTCATAACTCTTGGTGCACCTGCTCCCCCCATGGGGATTAGAGTAGTCATGTTTCTCTTCCGTCTATCCTATCTTTGGTCAGAGGTCTGGGCTCCCCTCCTCTTCCCAATGGTGTTTGCTAAGAATTCATCTGCTTTCCACTTACGTAACCGACATGGTGGCAAATACAGTTCAGTGCTGCAAAATGCAGTATCCCAGAGAATGTCTAGGGAAGATCAATACAGGGATAGGGGAGGAGGTATGCCTGGGGTCTATGGGGCCATCTCTCCTCTCCCACCCTGGGCCTTGCTAACAAAGATCCTAGCGTGTATCTGAGGCTGGACTCTTCAGCCAGGTTTGAGGTCCTCAGTACTGCCTCAGGGGTTACTAGTCAGGTCTCCTCAGCTCCACCATTTTCTCTCCCCCCTCACTACCTTCTATTAGGGGGTCAACCTGGGTTTCTTTGGGGTCAAACCAGGGTGGTCCCAAACCAGGCAGGTCCCAAGGATCTGCCCAGGGACAGGAACTAGGCTGCTTCAACCAATTTGCTAGTCTAGAGGGCTCCAGCGAGGAAGAGACAGCTCTCCACACCTATCCCTCCCAGAGGGCCACTTCCTAGTGTGTGAGGCCCTTTCCAACAATCCCCAAACATGTGAAATCTTTAAGACCATCAACAGGGAAGTAATCACATCCCCAATTTTATTCTTTTTGTCCAACAGTCCTGGAAGAAGGGTGCAGGAGTCAGCGTTCCCCCTTAGAACTATCAAGTACAGGTCTTGAGGGGTCATTAGTTGATCAGAGGAGCTAAGATACCCCAGCCCCTTCCTCCCAGGTCCTAGACTGCCTCAATTAATGGGAAGAAAGTTTTCCAAAGGGGGATTCGGGGCTTCTCACCATCCATCAGGGTATCTTCTCAAAGTTCTCGGCAACAAGTCTGCTCTTTTCAGAGTTAAACACAAGAGAGGGGGGGGCCCGGGGTCAGGAGAAGGGCGTCTTCTGTCCGACGGCGGGCGTCCTGGTTCCCCATGCTTTAGGGTTAAGTAGCTCTCAGCTTGACACAGTTCGGCCAGCCGGCAACCAAGCCGCCCCAGACCCTCACGGGGAGAGTTCGACCCGTTATCGTGGATCGGGCAAGGTCAGGCACCTCTCAGCATCCATCATCGGGGTCTCTAGGACCTCACGTCCCGAGGAGGGCTCTCCAATTCACCCAATCCATCGAGCTGGTCTTCTCAAGACATCTCCCCTTCCAGCAAGTGGGTTCCCTGGTCGCCCCACGCAGTCAAGAGGGCCCCCGCTTCCCCTGTGCTACCGGGTGAGCTCCTCGGCCTGTCACCGCCCATCGGGAGGGGTCTCTGGTGACCCCATGCTGTCGAGGGGGTTTCTCAGACCACTACCATCGTCAGGCTGGGCTCCCGAGGCCCCCGCGCCGCTGGACTCCTCGGTTGGCCCCTGCGGGCGCACGAAGGCACCCATGGCCTTGGCGTGGCCGGAGCGTAGCAGCTGCAGCTGGCGCCGCCCGCGGCGGTACAGGTACTCGATCCGCAGCACGTCGGAGCGTGGCAACGAGGCGTGCTGCCGGAACTCGGCCCGCACTCGCGCCTCGGCGCCCGGCTTCCCGCGCCCAGCGCGCAGCAGCTCGCGGTACAAGCTCAAAACTTGCCTCTGCAGGCGGCTGGGCCGGCTCATGGTAGCGGCTGGGCCGCGGGCGCCCGCAGGCGACGCCCCGCGAGCAGCGGCCCAGCGTCGCCCCGGGGCCTAACGGCAGAGCCCGGCAACAGGCACTTCCGGCCCGCGCACCCCAGACTTCCGCCTCCTCCTTCGTTGTCCCATTGGCTGTTACGTCACAACGCGGCGGCTCAGGGGCGGGGCTGCAGGTTCCCAGGCCTGCCCCGCGGGGAGTCCGTCCCCTTGAGCCGACTGCACCCAGGCGGAGCGGGGCGAGGCGCTGGGGTCAGATTTTGGGTCGGAAGGGACCCGGATCCCGACCTCACCCCCGGACCCTGGGAGACGGGGAACTAGAGGTTGGGACTTTGCGTCCCCGGGGCGCGGGGCCACTGGGAAGATACAGGCACAAGCAGGTTTGGTCGTTAAGTTGTTTATTCAGACAATCTCGGGAAGGTCCGTGGGTTCCCATCGCCGGGGCAGGTGTGCGTCGGGAGGTCCTAGCCATGGGGACGTTCAGAGGGACGGCGTCAGCCGGTGAAGTGTTGGGTCACGGCTGGAGTAACCAGCTTCTCCGCGCTGTGGGAAGACCACCAGAGCGAGGGTGTGAGCCCTCAAGTGCCCCAAGGCAGCGTGGGGCGCAGGGAGTTACGTGGATCGCGCCCTCTGCCGATGTGAGCCAGGTACCCGGGCAGGAGAACGGGGGGTCCTCACCAGTTGTTGAAGCCCGGAGCCCGGCACGCCTGGAACACGTCGATTAGGCTGGCACCCCGGAGTCGTCCTGGGAGCATCAGGTCGTCGGCTGCAACTCCGTTGTAGTCCCCGCAGGCTGCCCGGAGGCGTCCTCGCAGCGCGGGAGAGGCCCGTAAGGCCACGGCGCCCTCGGGCCCCACCAGCACCCGCAGCGTGGGGGGCCGCTCGATGACAACCCGGGAGCCCTCAGCCCAGCGTGCGACCACGCCCGCGCACACTTGGGCTGGGAGCCGCGCGGGTCGCCCGTTCACCTGCAGAGGGGAGGCGGATCAGGGGCGGGGATTAGGGCCTGAGTCCCAGGCTGCGGCTCCGAAGCCGCGGTGAATCCTGCTGCGCGTCTCTATCACAAACGCATATCCAGGTCTTCGCTAGAGGAATAAGGTCTGGGATTTGCTTTAAAACCCTCCAGCGCGAACAAAGCAAAAAAGAGTGGGAGGAAAAGACGAAAGCAAGCATGGCAAAATATTTGTAACTGTAACAGGGTTTCATAACACCACTCTCTTCTCTTTCGATGCTTGAGATTTTCCATAATAAACTCTCTCCTAAAAGGGAGCTTTAGAGAACAAAAAGCCTCTGGAACCTGTCGCATCTCTCTCACCTGTGTCTTCACAGTCTAACAACTGTTTACATATACTGTGTGCCAGGCACTATTCCAAGTAAACAAATAATATTTGGTTATTTATAAGATAATGTGTGACCAGTATATTGCAGTATGTGATGCAATAGATATTTTAATATATTGTCACCTAATTTTTATTATTTTATGTAATTGAAGATATTAAATTATTTATTTTAAAAATATTTTTAAAGATTTTTTTTAAATTATTTATTCAGAGAGAGAGAGAGGCAGAGGGAGAAGCAGGCTCCATGCAGGAAGCCCCACGTGGAACTCCATCCCGGGTCTCCAGGATCACACCCCGGGCTGCAGGGGGCGCTAAACCGCTGCGCCACCGAGGCTGGCCGATATTAAATTATTTAAACTATATTAAATTCTCACCAACACTCTGACAAGGTATATCGGTACTATATGCCTATATGCCCCTTGCCTTTTACTGATTAGGAAACTGAGACCCGGAGAAGTACCACAGTTTGCCTAGGTTCCCATAGCTGGTAAGTGGCAGAGCCAGTTTTGAACCAAAGAGGTCTGATTTCATGACCTGTGGTCTTAACCATTCTACTATATGTACTGTCTCTTCATTAATAACATAAAAGTGGCTGCAGGAACAATCGCAGCTTTAAAATTTTAAGTTTATTTACTTTTAAGTAATCTCTACACTCAACATGGGGATCAAACTCATGACCCCAAGTTCAAGAGTTTCAAGCTCTTCTGACTGAGCTGGCCAGATGCCCTAAAGACCAGTCATAGCTTCTATTTACTGAGGCCTTAGTAGATGCCACACACTTTGCAGGAATCCTCACAGCTACCCTACGTGGTACTATTCTTGGCACTTTTTGTGGTTGAGCAAAGGGAGGTATAGATAGGCTGAGTCACTTGCCCATAGTTACCTTAGAAGTTTAGGAGACACAGAGTCTCTTGACCCTTTAACTAAAGGCTCTGGCTTAGCTTACTTGCCAGCTTGTGGCAGATATCCCAGTTCTCTTTCTGGATCGTCCTCCCACTCTTTTTTTTAATTTTTTTTATTATTTATTTATGATAGTCATACAGAGAGAGAGAGAGAGGCAGAGACACAGGCAGAGGGAGAAGCAGGCTCCATGCACCGGGAGCCCGACGTGGGATTCGATCCCGGGTCTCCAGGATCACGCCCTGGGCCAAAGGCAGGCGCCAAACCACTGCGCCACCCAGGGATCCCCCGTCCTCCCACTCTTACATTTAGCCTCCACCGCACAGCTGTATTCTGTTTCTCAGCATGGGATTTCAGGTTAGATTTCCTCTTATCAGCACTATCCATTTGCCCAGGTTCCAATTCTGCTGCTCTCCTGCTTCCTTGTTCCTTTGGAGAGCCAGGGGTTCTCCACTTGGGCATCTCTCTCTGCTGGATTTCCAACCTCTCCTTATCTGGCTTCTTCCCATCACACCTAAACATCCCTCAGTTTCTCCCATAACAACATCATAATGGTAAATCAGTTCTAAGGTAGCTTTGCCCTCTGCCTCTTCCTGGCTTATCTCTAGTCTCATCTGTTTGGCAAGGGGAGTTTGTATGTATAACTCATCAAGAGAGGTGTGTATTCCTGTTATTCCTCAAACATGCAATCCAGGAGCTGCCCCCCTGATGTGATCTTAAGTTACTAACAACCTCCTTGGCCCTAAGCCCAGGGACATTTAGTGGGCTATTTGAAACTGGGGGTCCTGGGTGGCTCAGTTGGTTAAGTGCTTTCAGCACAGGTCATGATCCCAGGCTCCTGGGACTGAGCCCAGCATAGGGCTTCCTACTCAGTGGGGAGTCTGCCCCCCCCGCCCCTCCCTACAGCTCTTGCTCTCTCTCACTCACTTTTTCAAATCTTAAAAAAATATAATAAACTTAGTAGTTGATTTTTTACCACCATTCCCCAAATATGGTCCCTCCTTTTCTCTGGCCTTGTTCTGCAACACTCCTCCCTGCTCTCTTCCCCAGCCTAACATCAGGTTTCCACTCATTTGTCACCTTCTCCAAAAGTCTTCACTGGTCGCCTAAACTGAGGGTACCTCCTCTGGACTTCCACTGTTTACCTGTGCTTCCCCCATTCCAGCCCTGATACCTCTGTCTGGGCTTCCCCTATTAGAGCTCTGATCACTCAGTCAGTAGTTCCCAGGAGTTCAGCAGGACTTGAGTCAGGGTGGAGTCAGTGGGTCCTGGGAAGTCCAGGGTGAGGTTTATGTGGGGTCTAGAGAGTCATGACACATATAGCTAATGGAGGTCAATGTGAGATCAGGGTGATGGGAGAGTTCTATGATAAAAGGTTATGGAAGGCCAATGAAGGATCAAAAGGCCCCAGAGAGGGATCCCTGGGTGGCGCAGCGGTTTGGCGCCTGCCTTTGGCCCAGGGCGCGATCCTGGAGACCCGGGATCCAATCCCACGTCAGGCTCCCGGTGCATGGAGCCTGCTTCTCCCTCTGCCTGTGTCTCTGCCTCTCTCTCTCTCTGTATGACTATCATAAATTAAAAAAAAAAGATTTAAAAAAAAAAAAGGCCCCAGAGATCAGCCGGGTTACAAAAGAGTCTTGATAGAATTGAGGAAGTCCCTTACCCATATTTCCTGATTGGTTCCCACAGCTGCACAGCCATCCCTGAAGCCGACGATCACTCGTGGTTTGAGAGCAGTACAGCCAGGACAGGGCAGGAAGTCAACAATGACATGGAACCAGTCGGGATCCTCAGGCCTGGAACCCACCAAAGTGGCTAGCTCATAGGCAGAGGACATAACAGGCATGGGTGTGAGCCCACTGAAGCCATCAAAGGTGGTAAAGAGGCCCCCCAGCTCTAGGCGGCATGTAGCACCCTCCCCAGCCTCACAGCACCGCACACCGCCATCCAGAATGCAGCCTGTGCCCTGTGGGCAGGAAAAGGGCTGGCACTGGAGGCCTTGACCACGCAAGCACATACAGCGTTCCTGGCAGCCAGGCAGGACCAGTGCATCCCCGACCTGCAGAGACAGACAGACTCAAAATCAGATTCAAAAAACCATTATGAATATCAACAATCCACAAAACATGTGTAAAACACATCATGAAAGACCAAGTTCCCTAATATATAAAGAGTTCCCAGAAATCAAAAAGAAAAAAACCCGATAAATCTATATAAAAACATGGACAGGGACGCCTGAGTTGGCTCAGTGGTTGAATGTCTGCCTTCACCTCAGAGCATGATCCCAAGGTCCTGGGATTGAGTCCCACATAGGGCTCCCTGTAAGGGGTCTGCTTCTCCTTCTGCCTATGTCTCTGCCTCTCTCTGTATGTCTTTCATGAATAAATAAAATCTTAAAAAAAAACATGGGCAGAGGCTATTCAGAAAGTTAATTTTTTAAAAAAAGGGATACAAATGTTTCTTAGGCATTTGAAAAGATGCTCAACCTCCTAATAAGAAAAATACAAATAAAAAAATCCATTGAGGTCTTTTTTCCTCTATGAGATAGGCACAAACAAAAAAGTTGGATGAGTTTCTCCAATTGTCTCTCCAAATATCTATTAAATGTACTTTTGGAATTAGGATCTAATCGAGCTTTGTGTACTTCATTTGACTACTGTGATTTTTTAGTCTCTTTTATTCTAGGACAACCTCCCTGCCTTTCATTGGTGTGTGAAAAGCCTTACGGAGCTCTCTGCAAATTCTGATGAGTGGCTAGTGTCAGTGCTGGTGTGGAGCAGACATGCAATGGCAGATGTATCAGATCTTCTGCCCTGTTCCTCCCGGTGTGGGCATCTCTTAATTTCCAGGATTGGTCTGGGGTTTAAACATTCATGTTTTTTCCTATCCAGTGGCCCCTAATCTATAAGACAACTGTGTCAGTCATCCTGGAGGTCCTTCCTTTCCTTCTGGACTCCAAGAGCTCCAAACCTTGAAGGGAATGCTTTGCCTACTGAGGGTCCAACCATGGTCTTCTGGTAAATGCCTCTGCTTTTTTTTTTTTTAAGATTTATTTATTTATTTCTTCATGATAGACAGAGAGAGAGAGAGAGAGAGAGAGAGAGAGGCAGAGACACAGGCAGAGGGAGAAAGAAGCAGGCTCCATGCTGGGAGCCCGACGTGGGACTCGATCCCGGGACTCCAGGATCGTGTCCTGGGCCAAAGGCAGGCATCAAACCGCTGAGCTACCCAGGGATCCTCAAGCCTCTGCTTTCTTTTGGAAACTAGCCCCTTTTAGTCTGTGGGGTTTGCTGGATGGTATACCTACCCTCTGGCTTCAACCAGATGATGTCCTTCTGTGAAATTCTGACCAATGGGATGTGAACAGAAGTGTATGCTACTTGTGGGTTATCCCCTTAAAGAGAGGATGCCTGACCTTCCTGTCCCCTTTTTTCCTGGCCATTTTGCTTGAATGTAGATGTGGTGGGAAGCAGGTAATCTCAATACCACAGGGGAGGCAGAACCACATGATAGAAGGAGCCTGTGTCCCTGACTTGGAGGAGCCAACCTGGTTATTCTTGGACTGTTCGTGAGAGAGAAATAAGTTTCTATCGAGTTTAAGCCACTGTAATTTTGAGCCTCTGTTACAGCATTTGGACCCACAGCCTACTTAATAGAGAAAAAGGAAAAAGGCAGGGATGAAAGACAGGAAGAAACTTGGGTCTTAGTGACATCATTTAAGTCCCTGAATCCAGCCATGCCTGAAGGCCTCAAATTTAAGCAATTAAAAGTAGATATATCTTTGTTGTATTTAAGATATTTGGCATCATTTACAACTGCAAATGCTGACTGATACAGTGTGGTCCAGGGAACATTTTATGACAAGCTATGGGAAACTCTGCACCCATCCACCCATGCCTGGGGACCTCTCTTACAGGGATGTAGCGTCCACTGTAAAAGCAGCCACAGCGGTCCTGAGACACACAGTCTCTGCCATCAAAAATGAGTCCAGGGTCACACTCACAACCCTCATAGCACTGGGTAGAACAGTGAGCGGGGCTGGTAGGCTGGACACAGCCCCCGTCGCAGGTCCGTGCACAGATGCTGTAGTGGCTTCGGGGTGGACAAATCAGGGCTGCAGGTGAATGGCAAAGGCCAGTGCTTAGGATTTGAGTTTCCCTCTCCAATCCTGTTGCCTCTTGCCCCAGTCAGGCTAGCTTCCCTTTGGTATTTTCCAACCTTCACTCATTTGCAGTTACAGTTCTCTTTCCCTTGGCTGCCCTTCCCCACATACTATACTTAACAAATTCCATCTATGTCAGGACTTCTCTGATCCCCATAAGGGGCCTGCAACCTGCCCCAAATGCATTCCAGACCCAGCCAGAGCACTCACGGCAAAGCTTGGGGCCCCTCCAGAGCTTCACAGGGATGCCAGCTTCCTGACAGGCTGCAGTATAGGCTGTGAGGGCATCACAGAGACCCAGGTGCTGGCCATGGGTATGACATATATTTTGCAGACATATCCTGAGGAAAGGCTTAGGGCTGATATGGTCCAGGCAGCGGCCAAAGGGACCATCTGGTGCCTGTAGAAGTCTACACAGTTTGGGAGCATTGTAGATCTGCGGAGGTTGCGTGGGGCAGCTGATGGTAAAGTCAAGATTGGGCTGGGGCAGTGGGCAGGGGTTAGTGATGAGGCCCTTGAACCAAGATCTTTTGTCTATAGGGGGGTCAAGGGGGCCATCTTTGCCACCAAAGGCCCCACAGATCCCCACCAGCTGGCCGTGGAAGGTGGAAGGCACAGTTAGGTGCACCTGGCTGCCCCAGTCATACATAAGATGTAGTCCACAGGCTGTGTGTACCACCACATGGCGGCCCTCCAATGTGGCCCAGGCCTTGCCCTCTGGCAGTACCCAGGGCAGCCGGCAGTGTTCACCATCCACCTGTGGAGGAGGAAAGGGATCAGGATCAGGGCTATGAAGGCTGAGCCTGCTCCCATGTCTCCCAGTAACCTGGATATCCCTCCCAGCTGTTCCACAAATGAGCTGTGGGAGTTGGGTGGAGGAACTTTGCCTCTCCAAACTTCAGTTTCTCCGTTTGTAAAATGAGAGGATAAAAGTACCTACTTCATAGGGTCGTTGGGAGAATTAAATGAATGAACAAAAAGTGCTTAGAACAATACTCAGCATAAGATAAGTGCTTATGACCTGCGCCAAGGTCACCCAAATGCCAGTCAACTCACAGACATGTGACTGAGAAAGCTGGTCGGGGTAAGTTTTTGTTTTTTTTGTTTTGTTTTTTTTTTTTTTTTTAGTTTGTTTGCTATGCAGCATTAGCTGACTAATACAGTTGCTATAGTTGCTATAAAGATTAAATGAGATCATACACGTAGTGCTCAGAACAGTGTCAGCACCATAATAAGCACCACCTAAATCCCAGGGCCCTTTCTCTGGCTGTATCTTCCTCATGAAGCCTCACCACACTGCTTTTTAAGGCTCTCTCTACTATTAGCTGCTGAATCTCACTGCACTCCTCCTGATTTCCCTGCGTCTGCTTTGCCTAAGTTTTCACCACAGCCCACCCTATAAGGCCCTGGTGATCGATTAGGCCCCATCACCTTTCTGAGGCCACCATCTCCTCCTCAACCCCTCTCTTACTCGCTCACCTAGCACAAAGCTACACTGACCACCTGTTCCTCCAACACACCAGGCACCATCCCATTTCCCTGACCTTTACACTTTGTGTTCCCTCTGCCTGGTTTACTCCTTCCCTGATATCCACATGGCATATCCACATGGCCTCCTTCAGATCTTGACTCAAATGTTACTTTCTCAGTGGGTTCTTCCTCCTTATTTAAAATTCTAGGGCAGCTCCGGTGGCTCAGCAGTTTAGCGCCGCCTTCAGCCCAGGGCCTGATCCTGGAGACCCGGGATCGAGTCCACGTCAGGCTCCCTGCGTGGAGCCTGCTTCTCCCTCTGCCTGTGTGTCTGCCTTTCACGTTCTCTCTCTGTCTCTCATGAATAGATAAAAATCTTTAAAAAAAAATTCCAAACCTCTCTATTCTGTTTTTGTATTCTCTCTCTTCCTTGTTTTATTTTTCTTTGTAGTTCTTAAACCCATCATCTGATGTGCCACTTATTTTCCTCATTTATTTACTTACCACCTGTTTCCCCGGGACGAATGTGAGCTCGCCCAGGACCTGCCCACCATCAGATCCTTCAGGGCTTTCCTGGACCACGGAGAGACCCTCCATACAATTCACCGCAATGATCCCTCCCGAACGACTGATTTTACCCACACCCGGGTAGGAGGTGAGAACGCGATCTAACAGCTACGCTTTAGTGGGCCGCTGCTGTGTTCCCGGCAATGCTTCTACCCGATCACATACTGGCACCATCTCTTAAGGCTCGAGGGACAGACACGCCCATTTTCCATCGGGTGGGGGAAACTGAGGCACTTCCAGGAGGAAGAGGCGGGGCCCGGGGGCGCGTACCGTGATGACGCCCACGCGGGAGCGGTCTAGCTGCAGGAGGTGCCCGGAGAGGTTGAGGTGCAGACTGAGCGGCCCGGCCCCGTCGCGGGCCACGACTACGCCGAAGCGACAGGGCCCCCGGCTCGCAGCGCGCGCCAGCACCTGCACGCAGCGCTCCGGACCGAAGGGCGCGCGCGGGAGCGGGGGCAGCGGCAGCGCGCGGCCGTCGAAGGCGAGCACGTGCGCGGGCCCGGCGAGTGCGCAGGCGCCTCGGCCCTCGGGCAGGCAGCGGCGCTCGCCCCCGCGCAGGCCGCACACCCGCCCGCGCCCGCACGGCCGCGGCGCGCACGTCACCGCGCCCCCCGCGCGGCAGTGGCAGCGGCGAGCGCAGCCGGGCCCCGGGTACCACGCGGCCCCCGGAGCTCGGTAGCGGCCGCCGCGGAAGCAGCCGCACCGGGCCAGGGGCACGCAGGCGGCGCCGCTCAGCACGAAGCCCGCGTCGCACGCGCAGCCCTCACAGCAGCGGCTGCCCCGGGCGCCTCGGCCGGCGGCGCAGCTGTCTCTGCCCGCGCACGTGGCTGGGCAGCACGGGCCGCACAGCTCG